ACCACCATCCCCTTTCATTCATTTCTGAGCAACCCCTAACAATCACAACTCATACTTCACAATCTTGGGTTCCTCTCATCCTTGGACACTTTATAATTCTACAAGCCTTGTAGACACACCAAACAATTTGCAATTCAGCCTTGACAGCTATATGATGCACCATGCCACGCATAATACCACCCGTCCGCTGAATAGCTATCTTCTCTATACCAGGTTATTATAGTGCATGATAGTAGGCAGCAACTTCAGCTTATGGACTAGGTTAACAAGCATGGTTGAACTTTCTCAGCCTCATAGAGAAAATGATGCTCTCCATCATTGGAACAGCCATAACATCATTCGAAGCTACTGACAGGATTGAACTATTGAGGCCGATGATATCCCAAATAATAATCCTCCCTCGCACATTCCAATACTGCCTATTGTAAACTGTAAGCTGTAGGTCATGGTAACATGCACCTCATGTTCAGTACCCACCTCCCAACACCCATCTTCACTGTAACTGTATCGCTGCATTGTAATCCAACTGGTCAGCTGATAACACTTACTGCCCACTCATCCAACTCCCTTCTCTCAGTGGTTTAAATGTCGATGGTGCAGTGGGTCAGCACAAAATAAAGGCACTATGATTGTTGCTGTGATACCAGGCATTGACCTGCGAGATGTGAAATGTACAGCTGATGTGCAACCTTTAACAGGGTGGAACACATTTATGTTGCAGTAAATCTCTATTTATACTTCATACACGGTGCCTACAAAGCAAAGTGTATAGTTAACCAAACCCTGCATCATGGGGAAGTCTACTATCCTTGTGAAGTTATAATCATACTCCAGCTGTTTCTTTCCAGAAAGAAAAAACTCAAAATATATCCTTCTCCTTGCACACAGTGCACCGCTCACCACCCCTATACAACACAGAATGGCAATCTGTGTGATATTTGGAGCAGTTCCCTCCTTGCTAGCCTGCAAAAAGCCATTGCAAATACATTCAGGGCCGTGGTTACCTTATAACAACCAGCAACATGATCCTTGCCTGCCCTGAGGCTGCATATCTGCATCCAAGAGGTGACAGATTTTGGCGGGGGGTGGGTGTAGCAAGTCTGAGACTTGAAGTGAAAGTCAAGGCTACCACAGCATTCCACATCACTCCCTGTAGAGTTTGCTGACTTTAAGTAGCAGCCCAAACCTCCAAACAATTCTAGTAATTCAGCAACAGCCAGTAAACACCAATAGCAACTAGCCTGAAAGTGTTTGGTGATTCCTTGAGCTTGATGGGGGACATTCCTGTGGTTGCTGAATGCATGTTTAACTGTGCAGCATTACAGCTGGAATGCTGTTACACCACTGAAGATAGATACCACGAAAAGCTGACTGATGTCACGATCTGTTTCTTTGCTAACTCTCAGTGCATGCTCCTGGACTAATGATGTACCCAAAATAGCAACTAGAGAGGCGCACACTGAAGTGTGGGTGAGCACGGGCAAACACTATTCTGAGCCTAACACAACATGCACTTTTGCACAAATATGGGTATTGCACTGCTGTATTTTATGGTCAAAGAACCAAAAGACTTACTTTGAATGTAACCATGAATTAAACAGTAATGGTTCAATAATGCTTATTTGGAGAAAAGGTCTTCAACTTCTCCACTAAGAGTCAAACTATGAGCAGTTTGATATTTATGACTGTAGCAGGAACATCAGAATACAGGCTGTAGGAGCAGTCACAGGCCTTCGTAATCTTGAACCTGCTGCACCATTCAAACAGATCATGGCTCATCATCTACTTCCACACCATTATCCCCTACTATCTCTTTATTCCTTAATGTCAAGAGTATCCTGAGTGTTTTTCTGGTTGGTAATCAGTGGCTAGTGGTGTGCCTCTGCGACCAGTGTTCGGACTGCAATTATTCACAACTCACATAGATGATTTAGTGTTGGGGATCAAGTGTAGTGTGTCAATGTTTGCAGATGACATTAAGATGTGTGGTAGAACAAAGTGTGCAGAGGACATTGAAAATCTGCAAATGAATATAAATAGGTTGTGAGTGGACAAGGGTCTGGCAGATGGAGTACAGTGTTGGAAAATGTGAGGTCATCCATTTTGGTCAGAATAACAGCAAAATGGACCATTATTTAAACGGTGAAAAATTGGTGCATGCTTCTGTGCAGAGGGACCTGGATGTCCTTGCGCATGAATCACAAAAAGTTGGTTTGCAGTTGCAGCAAGTAGTTATGAAGGCAAATGGAATATTGTTCTTTGTTTTTAGAGGGCGAGAGTTTAAAAATAGGGAGGTTATGCTGCAGCTGTTTTGAATGTTGGTGAAGCCACACCTGGAGTATTGTGCACAGTTTCGGCCTCCTTACTTGAGAAAGAATGTACTAACACTGGAGGGGGTGCAGAGGAGGTTCACTAGGTTGATTCTGGAGTTGAGATAGTTAGCTTATGAGGAGAGATTGAGCAGAATGGGACTATACTCATGTGAATTTAGAAGAATGGGGGGATAGTTTAGAAACATGTAAAATGATGAAGAGAATAAATAAGATAGATGCAGGGAGGTTATTTCCACTGGTGGGTAAAACTGGGACTAGGGGCATAGCCTCAAAATAAGGGGGAGCAGATTTAGGAATGAGTTGAGGAGGAATGTCTTCACCCAAAGAGTTGAGAATCTGTGGAATTCCATGCCCAGTAAAGCGGTTGAGGCTCATTGAATGTTTTTAAGGCAAAAATAGATAGATTTTTGAACAGTAAAAGAATTAAGGGTTACGGTGAGCAGGCGGGTAAGTGGAGCTGAATCCATGAAAAGGTCAGCCGTGATCTTATTGAATGGTGGAGCAGACTCAATAGGCCAGTCACGGGGAGGCAATGGCCTAGTGGTATTATCACTGGACTGTTAATCCAGAGACCCAGATAATGTTCTGGGGACTTAGGTTTGAATCCCGCCATGGCAGATGGTGGAGTTTGAATTCAATAAATATCTGGAATTAACAGTCTAATGATGACTGTTAATCCATTGTCAATTGTCGGGAAAAACTCATCTGGTTCACTAATGTCCTTTAGGGAAGGAAACTGCCATTCTTACCTGGTCTGGCCTACATGTGACTCCAGACCCACAGCAATGTGGTTGACTCATAATTGCCCTCTGGGCAATTAGGGATGGGCAATAAATGCTGCCTAACCAGTGACGCCCTCATCCTGTGAATGAATAAAGAAAAAAAAGGATGGTCTTACCTCTGCTCCTATTTCTCATGCTCATGTGTTCTTAAATCCATCAATTTCCCTTTTGAACATGCTCAGTGTTTGTCTTTCCACTGCCATCTGGGATAGAGAATTTCAAAGATTCGCCTCCCACAGGTGAAGAAATTCTTTCTTGTATAGACTTTAATAGCCTGCCCCTCATTCTGAGACAGTGCCCCTTAGTTCTGGAGTCACCAGCCTGGGAAAACATCCTATCTACCCTGTAAACAGTTTGCAGGTTTCAATGAGATCTCCTCTCATTTTTTAATCTCTTGAGAATATGGGCCTGGTTTCTTCAGTGTCTCCTAATTAAACAAGCCCAAGGATTATGTTGGTGAACTTCCTTTGCACTGTCTCATGGCAAATATATCTTTCCAAAACTGTGCGCAATACTCCAGCTATGATCTCACCAATGTTCTACACAATTGCAGCAAGACATCTCTACCCCCGTTCATAGGTAGCTCAGTCAATTTCGTGGATTTTGGAGCTAATTTTTATAGGCATTTAAAAATGGTCAATTACCAAAGGTGCCATACACAACAGTAGTCTCGCCTGTTTCAGGTATCTAATTTTGCATTGATGTTGCTGTTTCCACTGGTTTTCCACATGTATTTACAAAAGACAACTTAAATCAATTAGTTATTAAGTTATGGAAGCTACAGAAGAGCTGAGAGTTATGTATTTTCCCAAAACTCAAGGTCAGGAATTTACCCCAAGCAAACTGCAGGAGGATTAACCTTGAATGTTCTGTTCCCTCCTGGTATCAAATCACAGGGGTGAGTAACTAGTGCTTGAGCTTAGAAACTGAGAAAGATATTGTAACTCTCAAAATCCTTCTTCTGATCATTCAGAGTCTACGAGAATGCCATGCCAATTGATTTACTTCCCCTATAAATTTTCCAAAAGTTTCACCATGGCAATAGAAAGGGAGACAAGGCCAAGCATTTCATTTCTCAATTCCTCTTTATCTTTCAAATCTTTACATGTCAGTTCCCAAATTCTAAAGTATTATAGGTTATTTTCACATTATGATAGTGCCACCAACACCCAATTCAACAAGTCTTTCTCAGTCCATACAGCCAAGCATTAATATAGCTGATCTTGTGAAAAACATTGCAGCAGTAAACTAAGAAATAATTTTAGCTCTCCGGAAACTCTCCAGAGTGAAAAATGTAATAATTTCCAAGGTCTATTATTTGTGCCCGGGGCCTCTGAATCGTCTCCCACCCAAGTCTCTGATCCACCCTGAGGCCTTTGAAGCTGTCTTCTCGTCCTGCAGATCCCTTAGGCCTTTGATCCACAATCCCCATCCCTCTCCCTGGATAGGAACACCCATCAGAATCTGAAAAGTCATGAGCTCCTTTCCTATGGAAAATGTTTGGAACTATTTTGGTCTTCCTTGCAAACTTAACATCTGTGGTTCTTTTTCCTGTCACTGATTGCACTGCCATATCCCATTGCACAGATTGCTTTTTTCCCTTCAGTTAAACAAGTGAGGGTTAGTTTAGAGTTATTATGTATCATATGAAGAATTCATTTTCATTCTGGTTATCATTTACAGATGGATGTAATTTTCAGAGAGTATTGTGGAATAATTTTTCATCTAATCCAAACAGCCAGTGAGCTGTTCTACACAAAGGCATCGACCTTAGGTCTCCAGTCAGTGTTGCTTTAAAGCAGGTTACTGCTGTCAGTAAGAACGATGGTTGAAAATTCTGGGACGCCAGCCATTCAATTGTTTTCATTTCATAACATTTGCTCACCTGAGGATTTTTAAAGACTGCATACTTTTCTTTTTTTTCAACAAATAGAAGTGTGTTCTCACTGTCTCGTGTCCAATGTGACAGGGTCTCCACCAAGTTTTCATGATCTTCCAGAAATCGCTCTGGACAAAAGAAAAATCTGAAAGTCAGAAATTTAAAAACATGTGCACAAAACAAGATGATATAATGCAATTGACACAGCACCAACATATACACCCACTGACTGTGATCTCATCATAATTTAGAATCATAGATTTTTACAGTACAGAAGGAAGCCATTCAACTTATTGCATCTGTACCTGCTCCTGAAAGAGTTATCCAGCTAGTACCACTCTCCAGCCCTATCTTTGTAGCCCTCTAACATCACCACGTTCAAATATACATCCAGCTTCGTTTTGAAATTTCCTATGGAATTCCCCTCCATTACTCTCCCAGGCAGCATATTCCAAATCCTAACAACTCTCTGAGCAAAGATGTTTATCCTCATTTCACTCTGACCTCTCTCGCTGACAATCTTGAAATTGAGATCCCTAGTTACTGACATAACTAGTGAAAATAGAAACCTTTATTTATTCTGTCAAAATTGTTCATAATTTTGAACAGCTCGATAAGGTCACCTCTTAAGCTTCCCTGCTCCAAGGAGAATAAGCCCAATCTCTCTAATCCTTCCTTGTATCTAAAATCCTTCATTCCTGGTATCATTCCAATATCATTCCTTATATCATTCCCAATTTATGGGAATACTGTGTGCACTATGGCTAAAAGATTACCTACATAACATTCACTGCACTTAAAAACTAACTCATTTTTTTCTGAAGTGGTTGGAAGTGTTTCTGAGAAAATGAATATAACCCCTTTTTTTTGCCGATCTTTAGTTTTATCCTTCCTTCCAGCCATTTTAACATGGTTTCAGAGATAGTAGGAACTGCAGATGCTGGAGAATCTGAGAAAACAAGGTGTAGAGCTAGATGAACACAGCAGGCCAAGCA